AATCCGCTGAGGAAAAAAACCCCGCCAATAAGCGCAGGACCCACCAAGATAGAGGAGGAACTTTGTCACAATATGCTTTATGAAAATATGCTTATGAATATGAACATGACATGACTGGAGAATGCTTTATGCTAAATGCCCTGTGTAACTTATCATTAGAAAGGTTATAATCTACTAAGTGTGTTCATCCTATTTGCATGTATTATTTCTATGTCTGGAGTTAGGAGAAGAAGGTATAAACTAGTATTCCTGATGTGGACCTATTAAGTGGAAGCCATTAAGGGTGCTTCAGAAACAATGAACTGTGAAGGGCTCTGTTTACCTGCAAGCCTTCCTGTGTACATGTGGGCCAGCCCAAGGAGACTGGGGTCTTACAGAGACATGTGACCATGTCACCTGATATTGGAATCCATCTTGAATTTGTTACTTAACCAAACAAAGGTTTCCTGCCTTAGGGAAATTCTATGTAAGGCGGAGGAAGTAAACAAGGATTGTCTTCAACTGGCTTAAGAGACAGCTCCCCACCCCAAAGAGATACCTGAAAGCTTCTGGAAACAAAAGGACTGTAACCACAGGGGTGGGAGAGAACTGCTGGACCCAGGTCAGAAAAAACAACTGATCTGAGAAGGATTTTACAGAGATGCGAAGGGGCATCAGATGAAGGGGGCTTTTTGGCTACAAAAGCTTATGCCCAAATAAATCTGTTAGTCTTTAAGGTGCCACCGGACTCCTCGTTATTTTTGTGGCTATAGACTAACATGGCTACTCCTCTGATATTTGTTCTGTCTGTTATTACTTAAAACAACTTTAATCCTACTTTTTATACTTAATAAAATCAATTTGCCAAAGTGCCAGTTAGATTTAATCAGAAATAAGGATGGCAATGGGGTGCTAAGTCTGCTGTGAAATGTGATATTGGCAACATTTCTTCAGTACTAAACAGGAACTATTTAAAAAAAAAAACTTTTCTGCTTATAACAAAATTTGATCAAACGTGTTTTAGTCTTAATTTAAAAGCAGTGAGAAAAGGTCAATTCATTTTAAACAATAGGGTTAAATTTAGCATTCGATATAACGTTAAATATAAAAAAAATGTTTTTAATTTATATGGGAGGGTTGCACTGAGAGGTTTGCTGTGTGAAAGGGGTCGCCAATCTAAAAAGTTTGAGAACCACTTGGATATAGACCATTCTTATATTTAATAACACTTGTTTCGTGTCGTCCTTCCTTAGGCAAAAGTATCATAGTTTACGTAAGTGACTAAGACTAGCTTCAAGATTTTATT